GTGGGAATCTGTGATAAAAGTTTTACGTATTATGGTTTTGTCTTTCTATGATGTCTCCAAGCATGATTCATTACGAACAATACCCTTAGAATGTGTCTAGATTTAATTAAATGTCTCCTTTGTTCAATCAATTATAACGATCACTTTCAGACCTGCCTCAACGCACGTCTTGCTATCTCATCATTTCCATTGCTAGGTTCGCATCACTCTTTACCAAGACTAAGGTACTCCTGGCCATGGGGAGAAAGAGCTGCTCCTCCAACCGATCATCGAATATGTCTCATCGACATTAGGGCTACTCATTGAGACCGGAAGTGTGATGCAATTTTTGACGTAGAGAGTGAGACTGTATGTATTTGACACATTCTCGTAGGACTTTGAGTGAGAAGTGAAGTGAGGAGTGAGTGAGACTCAGTCGATCAGGGGCTGATGGATGTCTTGGGGTACGTACCGCCCTTATGTAATGGTGTAAGTAAGGGACAGGAAGGTGCATGTCATCGGAGGGGTTCCTTCCTGGTCCAAACATCAGCTCGATTGAAGTTGTTCGCCATCTTGTCATCTAAATCTTACACAAAAATTCCATGTCTACACGTTCACCTTTTTACCGGCTGACGAAGTCTAAGGGTTTCAATCCAAAAACGAGATGCCGCGCCCAAGCTTTGCCGAGGAGGCACCAGAGGTAGATACGCCCCATGTTGCCACGCCCACCAACCAACCAATCTACTCGGATGCATCAAGTTCCTACTGGCCACCAGGCTGGAACTACGATCGCTACCGCCATGCTACGCCAGATGACGTTGCCTCTCTCGACGTGGATGAACTACTGAAGATGCAGGCTGGACTGCGGGACGTGCTTGGAGAAGAGGGAGTGGGACAATTGGCGATGCACGTCTTCGAGGAGCAACAACGCGATGCTGAAAAATCTACCGCCGATTCAACCACGGAGACGGCCAAGAAGACGGAGGCCGATTACATGCCCCCGAACTGGTTGAAGCACTGGAATAAGTGCCACGAAGGTCAGACGTGGGGAATGGTGGCCTTTCGAACGGCCTGCTACGACGATCAGGAACGATGGGAGACTTTCGCCAAGCAGGTTCACAGAATCGTTAAGCTTACTTTCCAGAGGGATGCCGACGGCATCGATGCTCCAGAGTATTTCAAGGATGCCGAAGCAAAGTTTGAGATACGATGGGTCGAAGATCCTGCCTTGGCCAGCGCTCCTGCCGAAGATCTGCGCGACAGGTTCGACGTCATGAAATCTGACCTTCCAGCCGGTCTGTCAGAGAAGGTGTTCCTTGTCGCTTCTTCGGCTGTAGTAGCGTCTGTGCTGGATTTGGGCGAGGGCGACCGGCCGACGACCAAATCCAAGTGGTGGCGGAGAGCGGCACCGTTCTTCATTGCGGTCGCTGCAGATACGGACCCCGGGTTGGAGGAGGGTCACGAAGAGAGGGAGTGGTTTAAGCCAATCTTCAAAGTTGCCGCAGAAACGATTGTTGAAGAGTTTTTGTGGCTCCTTGACTCGGATATCATGCCATTGAGAAGGATCACGAGAAGTGTTAGGGGCTTGAATAGTCTTGCCGACACAGATGGAGGTGCATCTAGGAGCGAGGACTTGGAAGACATCTGGTGGTCTACGGCACTGTCTCCGGAGAGAATGCGAAAGCGTCGCAGAGTCTAGGCAGAGTACGATTCTTGGGAAGCGCACGGCGAAGAGGTACGAGATGTAAGGGATGGCCTCTGTACTAGCAAAGAACAATGCCTTTACAACTCCGTCTTCTCTGACAATCCCATTGCCCTTCTCAGTCTTGGGGAGTTCACACCGGGCCACCCGATAGCAACACCTCCGCTCTCTGTCTTGGGCACCCCCGTCTCAACAGGTCCGACTCCATTCCTTCGATAGTGAGCTACCTTGTTGAAGTCAGACTGGCTGCCTACATCATCCGTCGCCCGTGCTGCGAGGGAAGCAGCGCCGTGAACACAATATGCCACCCCCAGCTGGAGATTGGAGCAGTCACTTGAGATTGCCTAACAACTTCTTTTTAGCCACTATCGCAATCAATGATTTCAAGTGCAGTCTCTACTTACAGGGTTCCATCCACGAAACTGCTCAAAGGAAATTCCGAACTTATCCTGCACTTTGGCACAGTAATCTCCGGACTGAATCACGTACCACCTGGGGTTATATGTGAGTCTTGGATATCTCCGTTGCAGCAAAAGACCAAAAGGCTTACTCATAGCACTTGTCTGTTGTTCCTGGAGGTGTAGACGTTGGGGCCGGCACGGTAGTTGAGGTCGCGGTGGTGTTCCAGTCTTGGGTAGGCAGCACGCAATAGAACACATTGGCCTGTAAGTTAGTGCAGCCACTGTTGATCTGGATGGCGTTGTTGGTTGAGTTCTGGCCTTTTGGGCATGTGAATTATTGATCAACTCACCTGGGGATTCATCCCGCGGAACAGATCCAACGAAACTGTCTGATTCAAGGCCACAAGCTCACAATAGTCGCCCTACATCAATGCACAATTAGTTACTTCGTGTCAAACGATACTCCAGCCTCAAGGACCAGACTGATTGAGTCGCTTGGCAATTGCACAGCCTAGAAAGACATACCAGCTGGACCTTGTAGTACTTGCCACACTTGGTGGTGGTTCCACTCGCGACAGGCGCTGGTCTATCAGCCGTAGCGGTCGCATATATGGCAGTCTTAGTTACAGTTGCACCTGGGATCGTGGTGAAATTGAGAACACCACCCGGAGGTCCAACGCAGATATTCTGGCCTGCGATCAAGTTGGTGCAGTAACTATCAACAGCTGGTTTGGCGGTCCGGTTAGAAAGGAACGATTGAGCCGGCATCGTTTCCAGCAGATTGAGGACTTACTTGGATTCCATGCGATGACTTGCTGGTAGGTCGTATTGAACTGCGCGGCGACCTTCAAACAATTGTCGCCGCTTTGAACCACGTAACTAGCGCAAGTAGGCGGGAGGCAGAGGTTCTAAAGCTCGCCGATATCAGCCAAACGGGGTCCTGGCAACAATCACCAGCACGGGAAAACTCGACAACTTACCTGACCGGCGAAGATGTTCGTGCAGTCCATCCGCAGACTGTTCAGTGTGATCAATGAGCCTGTAGAAACGCCGTTCTTCTTCGAGATATCAATGCAGTTGTCACCGGCAGCCACCGTGTACGTACGGCCTGCAACACAAACTGCAGTCGCATAACCGGGCGGTGCATAATTCCCCAGCGAAGTCACATTCGTCTTCAGTGTCTGAGTTGCTGTTGGAAGACTAAGACTGCATTTTGACTGAATAGCGGCCCAAGCTTGAGCCATCTCAGGGTCGTAGTTAGAGTAGGGGGTGGACTGTTGGTGGCGGAATAGGTTCACCAGACACTCGGAGCAGAGCTGGGCAGTTGAGTATCCGCCGAGCAGATCAGCTGGGCTTGTGGCATCACCGAGAACTCGTTCGAGGTACTCTATCAGATGTCAGATTACGACATCGAAAGCCAGGACAGGAAATCATACTTACGAGAACAATATTCCCCAGTTTTGGAGTCTTTCAGACACATTTGCGTTCGGACAGCAGTAACTGAGTCAACCCAGTAGGTTGATGGATAGCCACTTCTAGGCTGAGGGTCCTTGGCGCACTGAGAAACGACATTGCTCCTGTAAGTTGCCAATGCAGGAGAGCATTCAGATCTACAAAGAACGCCCATGACAGTCTCGTTGAGTACCGTGTGATAGCGACCACCTCCGAGAAGGCTCAAGAGCTCTCGGGGGCATTCCGGGACGGGGGCTGATAGCGCCAAGTTGCATCCTGACGAAATTCCATCGAAGACAGTGCCAGATTGATTTGCGAAAAAGAAGAACTAACGAAATCGGTCAAAACTTTGCATTGAACAAGCTGTTCTCTGTTATTCTCAGAGTAGTCCGGGAGTAACTCACACTTGGGTCAGCCAATATGACCAAAGGCCACAAGGAGACAGTCAGGCTCACGGGCAAAATCGACTTCATCTTGTGGTCAACCAAATTTTGGTGAGTAATGTGCTTTGTCCGAACTGCAATTCCTATCTAAACACCCGAAAACGACCGGAATCAAGAGAGCTCGTTCTAAGTAAGTATGGCCTGGAGTCGGGTTTTTCGGGCATCTGACTTTGCATATTTACAACTATAGAGTCTGGGTTCTGAGTCTGACTCTGTCATATTACAAGCTTCTCTTGAGTAAGACATGGCATGATATATTTCCAAGCAGCTGTAAGAAGAGTCAACTGCTGATCTGTGTCTCAACTCTGTCTCTGCTTCCCGAAGCACAATCATTTGAGTCAATCTGACATGCATGAGCTCATCACCGCACCTAAGTCAACATGCCATGCATAGAACACCAGCCCACGCAGTTTGATCGACAGCCAAGAAGTGTCTCACTCTTGGTGAATGGCGCACGCGACGTCTAAATATGTCGTGAGCGGACACGCAGGGTGATAGAAACACCACACTACTTATGAAGCACCTTAGTTCAAGTGTCCCCTTACTCCATCACACTTGTGGCGCCAAATCAGCGTTGTCAACTTGCACATCAGATGATTTATATCGATGGCAAAGTCATTTGAAATTGCAACCTGCATACTAGCGCAGGTTACAGGTAAGACACAGTCAGCAACTCAAAGACTTACAGAGCATCATGAGAATCGTTCACGCTTGCCACGATACTCACAACAACCTCTGTCTTGATCGACCACACTGAATCAGTTCAAACAAGGGAGGCTGCAGGTTTATTGAGGTCTAGAGCGATCGTAACTTCCACAAATTCCCACGCAGTTCAGATGTGACACAGTTCATCTCTAGTCACCATGTGGTCTATTTTGCGCTCCCCTTGGAGTACGGGAAAGGCTTTGCGGAGGTCTCTTCTTGAGGTTTCCACGAAGAAACAAAAGAATGGGTTCATCTCGAGAACAGGACGCATTTCAAGTCTATGTTGCTAGCATCGAATTTTACCTATCAATTGTAAGAATGAAACTCTTCAAGTCAGCTGTGCTGGTGTTCTGTCTCCTGCTCGTTGCGTCCGGAGTGATAGCCCAGCAGGACTATAGCTGTTCCCCCACCAGGCCATGTAAACTTGGATGCTGTGGTAAGAACAATGTGAGTGGTGTAGACATCCCCCGATTCAGCAAGAATATTAGCAATTGACGGGAGAACCAGGTTTGTGGTCTTGGTCCCAGCTATTGCGCACCCGCGAACTGCACTTCTACTTGCGGTGCCAAAAGCGAGTGTGACCCGGGCTGGGGATCCACCTGGAGCCAGAGAGACAAGTGCCCCCTAAACGTATGCGGCTCCAAGTTTGGCTTTTGCGGGACTACCAAGGAGTTTTGCGGCGACAAGAAGGTCAAGGCACCAAGTTGCCCTGGTGGCTCTTCCGCAGGCAAGCGAGTGATCGGCTACTATGAAGGGTGGTCAACAACGAAGGCCTGCAATGGATGTAGGTTCAAATTACCTTTAAGAGTAATTAGGAAACGAGTTGCTGACGTTTAAGAAGTGAACCCGGAGGACTTGCTCTACATGGCCTACACTCATCTCAACTATGCATTTGCTTTCATTGATCCGACCACGTACAAGATTGCAAACATGCAGGATTCCGACTCGAAGTTCATGCCTCGTCTTACAGCGCTGAAGAACTACAACCCTGGGATGGAAGTCTGGGTAAGATTTCGACTTGTATCCTTGAACACGAACGATCTTCGCTTATGTTAGATGAGTAGATTGCCATCGGGGGCTGGAGCATGAACGACCCTGACCAACCTACCAAGCGCACATTTTCTGAACTGGCAGCATCAAAGGCAAAACAAGATGTCTTCTTCTCATCTCTTCTGTCTTTCATGAAGTAAGTCCTCCAAGAACATTGAACGTGTAATGAGTTCCAACTAATGGCCGACCTCTGCTAGTAAATATGGCTTCGATGGAGTCGACATTGACTGGGAATACCCCGTCGCAGAGGAACGCTCTGGCAAACCTGCGGACTACAAGAACTTGGTCACCTTCCTCAAGAATCTCCGAGCTGCACTCGGAAACAAAGGACTCACAATTACACTCCCCGCATCATACTGGTATCTCCAGCACTTCGATCTCAAGAATATCCAGCCGTACCTGGACTGGTTTAACATGATGAGCTACGACTTACACGGCACCTGGGATGGCACGAATCCTTACCTGGGACCATACGTCAACAGCCACACAAACTTGACGGAAATCGACCGTGCACTTGAGCTCTTGTGGCGAAATGATGTTGATCCCAAGAAGGTCGTCATGGGTATGGGTTTCTATGGACGCAGCTTCACTCTCTCGAATCCAAGCTGCAAATCTGCTGGATGTGGCTTCAGCGCCGGCGGTACTCCAGGCAGATGCTCCGCTTCAGCTGGAACATTGATGTTCTCTGAGATTCAAGAGATCATCGACAAAGGCGGTGCTCAAGTAACAACGGACAAGACAGCCGCTGTTAAGATCGTCACTTGGGGCGGTAACCAATGGGTCTCGTACGATGATGAGGAGACCCTCAAGTTGAAGATGGACTACGCAAACGGCAAGTGTCTCGGGGGTGTCATGGTCTGGGCTGCATCAACAGATGACGCCAAGGGAACTGCCATCAAAGCTCTGGCAAAGGCTTCAGGCCGAACCGACTTGTCAAAATCTCTCTTTGCCAAAGCAGTCAACAGCGACCCAAGCCAGTGTGTCTGGGGCGAGTGCGGCGTATCGTGTCCATCTGGTCTCGTACCTGTCGAGAGTTCGGGTAGCAACGCCAATCCACTCGGCATCGAGCTAGGATGCAATCAAGGGAAGCGCAACTTTTGCTGTCCGTCGAAGAATCCACCGACCTGTAAGTGGAAGGGGAGTCCCAAGTTCTGTGGCGCGCTCGCGAAGAACCGATGCAGCGGCAAAGAGATTGAGATTGCCGCCAGCACAGACGGATGCTGGACTGGACACAAGTCTTTGTGTTGCACCAAAACTGATTCCACGAGCACTCTTGACTCTTGCGAGTGGCTTGGTGCTGCCCCGTTCTGCTCGGCTGGCGCGACTTTCGGATCTATCCTTGGACTCGGCACAACACCTGTTGCTGGAGCATTTTCTTTCCTTTCCTACGGCTGTCCCAACAAGGACAAGCCCAAGGAGCTTACTACTGGGAAGCAAGGAGAGGGCGGGCAGCAGACGTGTGCCTACAACGGAGGTTTCAAGAGCTATTGCTGCAAAGATCCCGTGCCCTGGAAAGAATGCAAATGGCAAGTATTCTTCGGCGAACTTCTACCCAGGGCCTTGACTGACTGTCTTCTAGGAGATCTGGAAACACTGCCTGGGTTCAGTGGAAGCAGATTTTGTCTGGTCCACTCGCCAATCTCTTTTTCGACTTTTCGACAGACTGCAAGACCGGCTGCGAGAATGGAGAGGTGACCGTTGCAACTGATGGCTTTGGCTGCCGCTCCGGTACATACTCGTACTTCTGCTGTGGCAACCCCAATACGCCGGTCGAGCCTAAGTTACCGGAAATTAGTCTCTGTCCTAGTCCTGCAAACTTGCCGGACCTGTCTACGACGCCAGAGGGTGGCTCGAGTCCCAAGAACGTGTTCAAAGAAGGCGATGTCTTTGATAATAGCTGCATATTACCACCGACTAACAAGAGGCGACACATGATCCGGGCAGCTCGCCCGCATCAAAGAGGATTTGACAGCAATGATACAGGCTCAGAGGAGGCAGAGCATCCAGCTCTCGCTGGCATGGATACATCTGACCTCTTCGGTAGATCGCTGGAGAAGCGCGGTGCCAGAGATGTGGCTATGAAATTGTGTGCACCCGGCAAGCAGAGCAGCAGCATCTACACTCAGAACTACCCGGGTGCGACCAGCATCATTCGTACTACTGGGAAGGCGTTCACTGTAGCCAAGCAAGGGGTTTGCGCCGCTGTTGGTATCACAGCTTTGACTAATCTTGATCCAAATACCAACTGGGTTACGGAGCATGTTTTCGAAAAGCAGGAGTTCCGCGATGCGGTAGAGTGGATGATGGATGGCAACACTCCGAAAGGCGTCGCTCTCACGGCCGGGAAAGCCCCTTTTACTGGAGTTTTCGATATCAATGGCGTAAGTTATTCTCTCCGTAATTTTTGAATCAGTTTCGACTAACGCGTTAACGATGCAGTTATTCCAGGATGTCTGGCCTTCGAAAACATACACCACCCTTACTGTTGTACGCGATTGGGCAGGCAACATAAACGACGCATTCACAGGTCTTCTTGGTCGAACGACAGATCAAGGCCTCAATAATGCGAACATCGTCAACCTTCAGGTATGCGACGCAGATTTTAACCGCTATAAAGAGTTCATTGTCGCCGGAAGTGACTTCATGAGCCAGGCGACGTGGAAGAACTACAGTCCTACAGGCCGCATTGCCATCTTGTCTGATGTGATTGACACCTTCGCGTATCGGAGTGAAGCAAGCGTCATCACCTCGTACCAAAAGACATACGCTTCACTCGCCACCCTTTGGGGCGACTTTGGTCGATATGCTCTCAGCAAGGGCGTCAGCTACGACTTTGCTTCTGCCTGGAAGCAGATTGTTCCGGCCAATCTCGAGAGCCAGGTTTCATCTGCTCGGACACTGTTTGAGAGTTATGTCAAGAGCGAGCTTGCATTTTGGAAATCGACTGCTGCCGCGACCACGTACTCACCAGTCATCGTGAAAGAAATGACAGACAAACTGACGGACTGGCAGGGGAAGGTGACGACACTGATTGCGCTCCCTATAAGCAAGATGACAGCTTGATTTGGTGGAGAAAATTGTATGCTTTTTATAATTTCTCGTAATAATAGTTTGTAGATGAATAGAACGCCATTCCATTAGAAGGGTCGATCTAACCTGCCAAGTCTTGGTATCTCGCAACGTAAAACTCGCTCCTGCCTACTTCACTACCAGGTAGGCACCTCATCCTGGTGTGCACCAAGTAATATCCTAATGATCTAAGTACGCTGCTGATGCCGCAGAACATAGGCCTTAGCCCAGTTCTGTTATTGTTTCCATGAAGCCCACGGAACCTTTCCGGGCCCAATCCGGAGATCCAGGTTCCGAGAAAGGCGACGCGGTGACTTTTGTATACCACTCATCCGACCAAATACCTCTTTCCACGTCTCCTTGTCTGGCCAAGGTTACTCGGCTCATTCTTTCGATAGGAAATATGGAATCTCTATGTTTAGGTGCCATGCCCTCTGTACTAGTGCTTACAAACACAGGCCCAGTCGTCCCGGTGGTATTGATTGCCGTTAAATTTTGCGTTTGCAGCTTGCTGCCCATGAGAAATTTGAGCTCAAAGTACTTTTTGCTACTTTGGCCGGTGTTGCGAGTCGATTCTGCCGAACCACTAAATCCGCGCATGAATAAAACGTTGAGTGCTGGAAGACAGGCGCAGATCATGCCTATGCTCACTTCCGCAGTCCTACATGTAGGGAAATTTCGGAGTTAGTGACTAGTCCAGCTTCAAAGCGAAGTAGATGTTAGGCCTCACCCAAGTAGATTGAAACGAATGAAGTCAACGGGTTCATCATCGGACCTTTGCAGTTGAATCACGAGAATCATCCGAACAATGCTAGCTGCGGTAGCGATGCCCCCTGCGCTGAGCATGAGGATAACCTTCAGTCTCTTTGTCCATGACATTCGCAGACTCAAAGCCACTGGTATCGGAATACATAAAACCGCAGTATCCGTGATGGCGCTTACGGCAGTATCTGCAACAAAGATTGCCCGCTGGTTCAAGCAGGTAGCGTTGAGCGTGGAGTCCCAGTAACCTGCAATCGGATGGCAGATGAACGTTTTGAGAAAAAGGACCGGCACATAGTATCCAGTCATGAACACTATGACGGCGTATGTGCCGATTATTGTCTTCTTGTTCAGCCTGAAGACTCTGATCACGATGAGCAGTAACGCGAGTTTCGTGAAATAGGAATTTGGGCCGTAGACAAGCGTGTCCGCGTATAACCCCTGTGACGGTATTAGCGCGCGATCTCGGAACCAGTCTACCGCGGCCACTAATGTTGAAAATAAGTACTTACCTTCAAGAACCCAACGAAATTGTCCTTTGAGATCTCATAGATGTGGAAACCACCTCCATAACGATGCACTGGAAAATGATTAGCCGCCATGTGAAGACCTTAATTGCCCATCATTACTTACTCACGAGCCCCGTCGAACTGTAGCCGATCGACAGTATCTACCGAGTTGTCAGTACACGCGTTGACTTCAACGAGGTGACCGATCTAGCCACTCATTTACTTACCCAGGCGACAACCGCCATCCCTAGAACTGTCAGCTTCCAAATTCGATAGCAGAGGGCCCCAGAGAGTCCTGGCCAAGAATGCTTACAATCATCCAAGTAGAATGGCGGCGCGATGAGCGTTTTCGCATAAATGCGCAGCATCATGAAGATACTGACGGACACAATCGAAAGAATTTGCGACACCAAATTGATCGTATGCAATACATCTCGCGGGTGCTGAAAATCTGGCAGTACGCCTTCCGGCGGGGGGGCCGCCCCCTCCTTGTCAGACATCTCGCATCGGCGACCGGGAAATGTGGGTAAACCGGCGGGGTAGGTCGGCGGAGTCGGCTCGGTGCGGGGCAAGTCATAGTCTTCCCCGTAGATGATCAGTCTGTTGTTCGGGCGGACGCTGCCAAACTTGTCTCCGACTCAACGTATGAGAGCCAGCAGTATATCCAAGTCAGTGTGATTAGTAGGAACCATTCTTCGCGGAGATGTCACTGGAGGGGGAGTTTCTCGTATATACTTGCCGCAGAAAGTCATACTTGTGATGGTGTGCCCCTGGAGAAACTATAGTCGAGCCCAGAACTCTGGGGAGAATCAGCCTTGACCATGTTCGAACCGCCAAACTCTGATAGCTAAGCTCAACGTGGATTCATGATTGGTTGATGGAAAAATCGGCAGCTATGACGCCCGTACTTTGGAGAGGTTTATGCATAGAAGAAAGTGTGTTTTCGATGGACGGGGGAAGCTTCGTCTCAGCCGATCATCAAGCTTCCTCGGCAGATGAAATGTTCAGGGGCTGCTAACCAGGAAGATAACTATTCCAGCCTCATTAGCGGTACAAAGATTGAGGGAAAAGGTTACTTTGAGCGGTGCCCTCTGCGAAGTGGCGCGTTTTTGAGGCATATGCGACACACCTGCCTATCACAGATAGATGTTCAACTTCGATTGATCATCGAAGTATGAAGTCCGCCCCTCCAGCCAATCCGTTTTGTGGATTGGCCCGTCTGTAATTGACTCGCTAACACAGATGTTGCGCTACATTTTCCTGCAGAGAGAATCAGTGCATACCCAAGTCATGCGACGAAATCGCTACAACTAGCCTTTTCAGGCACTGTGATTGATTACCACCCAACCTGATAGGGTGTGATGTCTCGAGACTGACTCAAAGACTATTGAGAGCTATGCTATCGAGCTGATAGGATACGCCAGGGCCAGGGCTCGCGGGGTAGCTGAGCACGGAAGCAGGTGCTCGTAACTTACCACGCAATCCCAGCTTCGCTTTGCGACACGTGGATGAACTGGGCAGTTGGACGTAACGGTCTCTCGATACGCAACATTTGTCTCGAATCATAAATTGGCACTTTGATCCCGTAGTCTCGATGCGACATGACCTTCAGTCAAGGTCAACCATGCCAGGTGCGACACCGAAACGAAGCGAACGTTTCTCGAGGTGGGCACTCACTTCTAGAAGCATTAGAACATTTCTGTACTCCTAATACCCTCGAATTTTGGGCTCATTTACTGATAGGTAGAACATGGATGCACATTGAAAGCAGTCAACTGTTAGTACCGATTTACCTGAAGGGGAAAGACCCGGCGACTTGCAGTCACATCCGACGGCTCTGCGAAGCTTGAAAGCTGAAGGACCTGAAAGCTTGACACATGCTCAAAAATTCATTAGATTCTTATCGAAGTTCATATGAAAACGTGGCCATCCATGGATTCTTGATACCATTCTGACTTCCGAGTACACGGAGCCGCCCGGAGAGGGGTGTGAGAGACTCGGTTGCCATGCCCAGTTCGTGCGCATAACCTGAAGATAGAGTTTCGTCCCTGGCCTGACTTACGTGACATGACAACTTGAATGGGCGAAAATTGCCCCGAACAGACGTTGAGTCAGGACGATTTCGCACCTGCCCACTGCCGGTCTCTAAAGTCTTCCGATATCGACTCTTCCTCCCATAGCTAGGACAGATGTAGCAGTTCGGCTTGAGCACGTTTCCTCTCACTCCTGTGCGTGCGACGCAGATGACGAGAGATGGCACGGACGGTAGTACGGTAGCTTGGCAGCTCCAGATATCCGTCCAAAGAATTAACCTGACCCCGCAAGCAGCGGGGAAAGAGATGTGCTGTATTAAGTGGGTTGTTGTCAAGCAGCTATGGAGTATTTCCATCTATTGGATGTCTATTTGGCCACTTGTCAGTTGCTGTGAGTGATCTTTGGCTTTGTCCCCCTCGGGTCACGATGATTCCGCCTAGCCCATGCTGCAGTCATACCTCGTAAGTGTCGACATGCTTTTGACGCCATAAGCCTCGATGCACAAATTGACTATGCCTAGTCAGCAAATTCATAATACTAGCCTTGATGCAACTGTCACAGAAGGTCATCTCTTGTAGTCTTAATGATGTGCAGATCGATTTGATTTCCCAGGCATCTAGACTATTGCTACCTTAAAAGAGAGCGCTTCTAAATGACAGGAACACTTCCCCTGACTCCCGTGATGTACCACTTGTAGTCGCATAGATTTCGCGTCGAGTAACGATTTACGGGCTGAACGACTAAATTACTAGACCTATGGGAGTTGCTATGCTTTGTGTGTAGTCTGAAGAACGTAAGGGGTAAGTAACATTGAAGTCTTTGTGGGTACGTCACCGAGCATATGCATGCGGCCTACGGGTTGTCACACCAGCAACCATCGCAAAACAGCCTCACTTGAGGAACGGTGACCAAGGGACCAGGGACGTTGCAGACCCCTCGACCGCCTCGCCACGCCAGCCGCAGTAATAAAGCTCCCTTTGCAGTCTCAGGTGAGGGGGTATCTGCAATGGGTTGCTTTTGGCAGTTGCAGTTGATTGCTGTGAAGCTCAACACCACGGCAACTGCAATGGTCATATCTTCATTTCCCAACTGCAGTAGCGCCTTTCCGATTCCAGCCCGTGTTGGAAGAAACTGTCACCTCGTCGGTCTGGCAACATACTGAAGGTTGAGGAAAGCGGATTTTGCACCAGGTCCAAACAAAGCCCTCGAATTCGTGAAGCGCAGGTAGTTAGTTGGCTATGGCTAGCATCATTGCGTGGTTATCCCACGAGAAGAAGGAATCGCCGTTCGACCCAGGGGAATGGGAAATGGATTCCCCGTTATTGTTCAGGGTATATGGAGTATGCGCGAACAGCGACGGACGCGTCTCCACCCAGAATCCGGAGGTTCCATCTGTACTCCCTACTCCCCAAGGGTTCCAGGATCCAGATTTCGCGACGTTCTAAGTTCTCATGAGTACTCCGTGTCGCCTGACGAGGTCCACGTTACTTGTTGCACGAGACACGTCGCCACTTGAATAAACAATCGACCAATGGAGACTGGGGAGGGGTTCGTGGACATTCCAGCCCCCCGAATGTCGAGAGCGGGACAAGTTTATCGCCGCCCACTTTTGAGTGCCCCTCCATCTGATAAGCCAGACATCAGGAGACGATCATGTTGTTCGTCTTTTTGCCATCATGTAAGCCACGCACCCGGGCGAAGACACTGAGACTAATGGGCATCGTTTCAATTCAATTTCCCGGCCTCCAAGATTCTTCATCTTCATGGCGGCTGAACGAGAGAGCAGAACTCCGTTGAGCCTTCATACAATGAGGTGAAAGGCCGGCAACATGCCGGCCAGGGTCCGGACTCGACGACATGGCTCGGCCCGCAAAGCGGACGAATCAAACAACACCACGTCCAAGTCATGGTCCCCTGTCGGCTCCGGGAACGTGCAGTCTTCTAGTGGCTCATCCCACGTTTGTTGCGTCCCAACTGTCTCGGCCTAGCCCAAGTAAAGCAAAGTGAACGATGCCCAACCCACAACACCATGCGCACAAACGGGAAGAGAAGAGGAAAATAGACGGCCGCCAGTCGAATTCATTTCCGCCTGTTTGCCCTGCCCAAATCGACTGGTTGTGAAGCCCATGTCTTTTCCCCGAAATTCCTGACTCATCCTAGCCTACAGTAGACTCTCTAATTCGTTTTGTTTTCCCTTTGGTGGCCCGTTCGTCCCCTGCGAAGTAGGGCTTCAAGCCTGTTTGGCCCTCGACAGAGCGAGCTAAGGCATGAGGATGGACATGAGAATGAACAACCGCCGTCAACTCGTTGGCGGGACTTTTCCAATAGTGAGGGGGTGCGAGTACGAAAATGTCGCCAAATATAGCAGAGATCCAACGGAAGCAGTTGGCCTCAAGGCTGTACCGCAGCGTCTAGAGATTCAAATCCGTCCAGCAACGGGAGACTTACACATGTTCATCGCCACTTGGAGATATTGCAAAGTTGTATTCTTAGGTTCAGTCTTCTTCTGAACCCGAACCCATTCGCCCAAGCTGATGGATGGTGGCACCCCCCAGTCTCCCGCTTTTTAGTCCCCGGCAGACGGGAAGCGTTGATGGAGCCTAGACAGGGGGTTCAGGAAACCATGGGGGCGTACGCCGTGGACCGTGGAAACGGCCGATAGACCAGGAAAGCAGGGTTTGCTCCTCCTGACCGCGGCATGGCCCAATCAGCCAAGCCCTCTCAGCCCGAAGGGCGACGGAGTGACGACGTTGCGTTTGCAATATTCGACGCTACTTTGTGTCCCGGATGTAAGCTGGGCATCCCGCCAAACGGTTCCGTGGAGGGCCAATTGGGAGTCCCGCTCTGGTGCCACGCCTCATCCCTGACGCTGGCTCGTCTGGCTCGACCATCCCGTCGAGCCCGTGTCCCGCCGCTCGAGAACGAGAAGTCGAAGGGCCCCCGAACTTGTTTTTGACGTATGTGCCCTATTGGACGGGGGTGAGCGCGCTGGTGGGAGGCCACGGATGAAGGCGGGCAGCGTCGAATATCATTTTCTGCCGGTTGGGCTCCTGTACGTAGATCGCCCTCCGCCTCCCTTTTTCCCCCTTCTTCCCTCCCACAACACTACACTCTGGATATTCTGAACAAAACCAACCTGCCTCCACATCCAGACTTCCTCTTCCGATCTCATCATTCTTTGATTGTAGATCCGAGCAGACCCGATATGCAACTTTACCCCTCATCAACTTACCAATACACTTTCAATGTCACTCGCAGAGTCCACCAGCCCCAGATCAGACGTCCAGCTTGGCACATAACTTGAGAAATCCCAAAAAAAGAAAGAACATTACTATTTACCAGAGCTACTCGGCTCTTGAGCGAACCTCCATTCCAGATATTTTCATCACCGTCCTCATGGCTCCTACCCGTGACCCGGTGCCCTCAAAGGGTCGCAGTCGCTTCGCCAGACTTAGGCGGCCCTCAGTCTCCATCCCAGACACCACTCCTCTTGAGAGGCTCGATCTTTCCAATGCCAACGTCTCCGAGATCTCACTTACCCCTATGGATCGTTCGGTAAACGACAGCGGATCCGACTTGAGCGTCAGCTCACCCGGAAACTGGAGGAACAAGAGCGGCGCCGCAAAGCCTCCCTTGAAGTTCAAACCCCCCATGCTTCGCACCCGCCCTTCTCGCCCAGAACTCCGCCCGGAGATCAGCCGTCCATGGAGACGGTCTACCGAGAACTTTTACACCACAGCCGATGAGACCAATGATTCAGATGTAGAGTCAAAGTTCAGCTTCGACTCCAGCTCGTGCCTCACTATCGCGACGAGCGTGGACGATTCTGACTCTCACTCTTCCAAGTCAGACTCATATACCCAAGCCATTCGGACTCGGCCATTCACCACCGAAAAGCAGGTCATCAGGACCAGCACCGTTCCTCCTGCACCGGCCAAGCCCGCCAACCTCAAGGGCACTCGTGTTGACGTCGTCGCTCCCAGGAGACAAACTATCCACATCGAGGTGGCCCCCGTAGCCCCTGCCCCTCCTGTGGTCCAACACATTACCTCACACGATCTCATTGAACGTGAGAAGGTCCAAGATGAGCTCAACAAGCAGATTGAGCTCATGAGAGAGGAGGCTATGGGCCTTGTCACTAAGCAGTCCGACACAGATAGAAGACTCGGAGATGCCTTGGACCGACTGTCACTAGTCTCTGCCGACAAGGAGAAGATCGAGAAGCGACGCCGTGAAGAGAAGACGCTCAAGGACAAGATCACCCGCGACTATGATGAGCAAAGCCGTCTACTTGATGACGTGAGGAGTGCTCTTGGTGAGCATGAGAAGAGACTTGATGATGTTGAGCGTGAACGAGACCAGCTCAAGGGCATCAAGGAACAACTCGAAGTCAACGCCGTCAAGCTTGAGAAGGAGATCGAGCAAGAGAGGGATGCCAAAACAGAAGTCACGACTAAGAACGCGGTGCTTGAGAAGGATCTTATTGAGCAGGAGAAGCTCCTTGCCGAGCAGGCGAAGCTCACCAAGAAATTCGAGGCGCAATGCCATGACCTAGAGAGGAGCGTTGGTGATGCTCACTTCGTCACCAAGGAGACCGAGCGCTCCCTCATTAAGAGGATTGCCGCCCTCGAGTTGATCAAGAACACCATGGAGCTCCGTGTCACCGGACTTGAGACGGACCTCATTCGCAAAGGCACTGAGATCGGTGACATCACCGCTGAGCGTGACCTCCTTCGCATGGAAGTCGACAAGTACAAGCCCCAAGTCGACGAGCTTAACAGGGAGAACGGCGCCTTGACAGAGGCCAAGAAGGGCCTGGAGGCACGCATCGACGACCTCGACCAACAGAAGAAGGGTCTCGAGGCCAACATTGAGAAGCTCGAGACAGAGAAGAAGGACGCCCAGGCCAGCTTTGATGCCCTCGACACCGAAAAGAAGGGCCTCGAAGCCGACATGGAGAAGCTAAGCACCGAAAAGGCCGATATTCAGACCCGCTTCGGCGCGCTTGAAGTCGAGAAGCAAGAGGTCGAGGTCCGCCTCACACAGCTCGAGACTACCAACACCGATATCCAGACTCGCTTCGAGAGCCTCGAGGCCACCAAGGGCGAGCTTGAACTCAGCAAAGGTGAGCTCGAGACGCAGGTGAAGGACCTCGAGGGCTTCAAGACCAAGTACGATAAGCTCAGAAGCCGCATCGAAGGGCTCAAGGGCAAGAACACGACACTCAAAGGGCAGGTCGGCGAGCTTCTCAAGGACCAAGACGACAAGATGTCTCAGATCTCAAGTCTCGCAGAGGAACGCGACATCCTCCGCTCGGAGAACGAGTCACTCAAGGATGAGAACGAGTCCGTCACCAGCGAGCTCCGACGTGCCGAGTCACTCATGGGATCTATCGCCGGCTCTCTCCCCGGCTCACTTGCGCCATCAGTTACCGGCTCCGCCGCCCCTTCCGTCATCGGCTCCGCGGACGACAGCGATACAGACACTGTCAAGGGCGACGATGATGAGGCCCCGCTTGCTCCCGAAGAGGCTCCTCCGGCTCCTCCGGCGCCCGAACAAGCACCCCCCGCGCCGCCAGTGGAAGAGCCTCCTGAGGTTCCCGTTATCGAAGTCATCGAGGAGGCTGAGGTCGTCGAAGAGGCACCAGCACCGGCACCAGAAGAAGTCAAAGACGACGCCGCCGGTGTCATATCCGCCGCGCCCTCTGAGCTCTCCAAGGCCGTCCCTGAGCCCGAGCCAGAGGTGGTCGAACCTGAGCCCGCCTCCGAGCCCGAGCCCGAGGTAGTCGAGCCTGAGCCAGCCCAAGCTCCCGAGCCGGAGGCAGCGGCCGTCGAAGCTGATGCCGTCTCCAAGAAGGCCGAGTCCGTATCCGCCAAGTCCATCACGCCCTCCGAGCCCGCGGTCATGGAGGAGCTCCGCAACCGCATCGCCGAGCTCACGGACCGCAACGACCAGCTCCAGTCCGAGACAGTCAAGCTCGGCTCCCTCACCGCCGAGCGCGACGATCTCGTTACCCGCGTCGCGAGGCTAGAGACGGAGGCCGTCATGGCACCTGCGCTGCGTCAGGAGAACGCAACCTTGACATCGCAGCTGTCTCTCGTCAATGCCCAGCTTGACGGCATACGCGCTTCCTACGACGCTTCGATCGCCGAGGTAAACAGCCTCAAGGACCAGATCGGTCAGCTGCGGGGACGTTTGGCTACGCCATCGGTGCAGTCGTCGCGCTCCCGGGAGTCGTCTCATGCGAGGGCGCCGACGAAGACGAAGAAGAACGACGATAAGAAGAAGGAGCAGTTGGTGGTCGTACGGAACCCTAACGAACGAGGCGGAATGTAAGTCCAACCCATCACCTCCTCATGTTGCTGAGCACTAGACTGACTATCATGTTTAGTCAAATCGTTCGACGATGCGATCTTCGGGGTATGAAGAGGTCGCCATCTCAGCACTCTCACTCCGAGGGCGACAAGAGCGACTAAATCCTCACGACTTATTTGATATTGTGGACATGGGAATAGCGAGGGAATGGGGTGTTCAGCGTGGCGAAGGACGGACTGACGGACGGATAGCACGAGTATAGCGTTTTCTTTGTGTTTTCTTTCTTCTTTCTTCTATGTTAGGGCAACATAGCATGCGATGGATCGGTTCGTCGCTTGGGTCTTTCATTGATACTTTTACTCTTCTCCTTTGTCACTGTGGAATTTGGAATGGGCATGGATATGGAACGGACTAGACATGTAACGGATCGCATGGGCGGATTCTGGAAGACGGTGTGCCCTCAAGGGCGCGAAACAGCATGCATCTTGTAGACTTCTTGTGTCGTATAGCTAGTTACTTGGTCTTGTATTTAGATAGCGCCAGCGTAGGCTGTCAGGTAATCATTATTGCCATCTATTGGATCCCCTTCACGCCGTGCTCGTGTAGTAGCTTGCAGCTCCTGACCTGTCAGACTGCCACGGCCCATCGCGTCCTCGGGCGCGCCAACAACTAGCTCAACAACGTGGCCCGCCGGAGATATTAGTCTATTAGAGCAACACTTACTTAGTCAATATGAACCGACTTGTTGGTGCTGACAGCACAAGCTTATGTCTCCGTCAGCGCACCTAGTTGACCCGGGCCACGTCCGCCAAGCAAGGCGCCAACCGATTGGCCGAAGCCATGCCTCGTGAAGATTCGGCTTCAATAGTTCACGATAGGCGGACTTTGGTGTTCTGACAAGTCTACCGCATTCCTCGGCTCAGCAAAAAGATCTTGCTTATTCTCAATACTACTGCCCATCAGACTTATCAGATGTACTGCAAAATTTTCAACCTCCCGTGTGTTTTCCTCTTTTCCCCGCGGGATCCAGAATGTTAAGCTTTCTTATTGTCTCACATATTCAGTCCATCACCTTGTGGGTAACTTTGATGGGAGCACCCTACCTTAGGTAATGAGATGAACGCCATGAAGTTACCTCCGCCAATTTTCGTGTTGATGCTTTTCGAGCTTTAGTGAGGTCATAGTCTCCTCACACTCTCGTCCAGCTTCAGGGCTCTCAAGGTCGGTCGATGACGCCGCACCCATGACAATTCTCCCTGGTAACTGTATTCAGTACCTCCTCCCACCCCAACCGAGACGCAAGAGGCCAAGGAATCCCAAGAAAGCCATGAATTCCCGCGGTGCCTCTCAACATCAAAACATGCGGACGCTCTCGGCGCCACCATTCGCTGCTGAATCCGGCTTGAGCCCGGTCAGGCACACCTCTCAACAAGCTGCGGTCTAGTCTAGACGCCACAGGAACCTAGGAGCTCATGAAGAGGAATTGGCAGCTCCGATTGGCCTCATGTGTCTCAAGGACGGAAGTGGGAACATGTGTGGCTGCAAACGCTGAACCACAACATTCCAATGCTCATTCTCGCAGCCCGGAAACTGGATACTTACGAGAACAGCTCAGTCTCACTTCAAACTTAAACAAAGCTGTCATGGCCCAAGCTAGGAATAGGTCGGGTGTAAATCCCCGCATATGTTTATTTTGGTGACCTAAAGGTAGGCAGTCCGGGGTGTATATGAGAAGCAAGTGTTTCCACCTTTTCAATTCCCGGTTGCTCCCCTCTCTCATCAGCTCACTCAACTCTCGCTTCACCCGGCATAACCAACACTTTCGTTGTCGTCCAAGTTCCAGATCTTGATCATTCAACTTCTAGTCAAGTCACTCGACATATCATAACCGTCAACATGAAGTTCTCTGCTGCCATCATTGCCTTCGCTGGCCTCGTCGCCGCCCAGTCCCTCGCCGACGTTCCCACTTGCGCCCAGAAGTGCTTGGCCGACGCCGTCACTTCCACCGGCAAGTGCACTGCAGGCGATATTTCCTGCCTGTGCAGCCCTGCCAACTACCAGGCCATCGTCACCGCCGGTACTCCTTGCGTCCTCGCTAGCTGCGGTGCCGACGTTGCCGTCAGTAAGTTCATCACCAAGTCCTCGCCTGTTTCATCAAGGTCCTAACTCTGCCCTTCAAGACCAGGTCCTCCCCGCCGCTGGCAAGATCTGCGCTGCCGTCGCCGGTGGTGGTGGCCCCGCCTCCGCCGCTTCCTCGGTCGTCGCTTCGGCCTCTGCCGCCGCTTCTTCCGTTGTTGCCTCGGCCTCCGCCGCTGTCTCCTCCATTGCCTCTGCTGCCACCAGCAACGCTGCTTCCGTCGCCTCTTCCGTCTCCTCGGCTGCTTCTGTCGCTGTCACCAGCGCTGTTTCATCAGCGGCCGCCGGCACCACTCGCACCGCTGTTGTCACGAGCGCCACCACCACCACCAGCGGCAGCTCTACTGCAACTGCTACCGTCACCCCCGTCACCGTCAACGGTGCCGCTACTCAGGGTCCCGTTGGCCTCCTGGCCGCCCTTGCCCTTGGTGCTCTTGCCTACTTGTAATCGAATCCGCAAAGCTGGCCCGGCTCTATACATAGCAAGGTTTATGTCCTGGGTCACGATTTAGACCGACTTTACTGTATCTTGGGCGTGTCAGACCACAAGAACGGGGCGCACAAAATATAGATGTAATAGTAATACTCTTATTCAGTTTTACGCTACATCGCCTTATCTACGATTTGTGTGAAATGTCTCTTCGCCACTGTGATGAATATTCACAATGGTTCAGTCTCATCCTGTCCTCATATTATTCATCTTGATGTACTGTGATTCATCGGCAATTTGGATTTATCAGATATCACGTCTTCAGTTCAATGTCAACACGGGTTCTTGCGATTGGCAGGTATGCCCGAAGGCTAACACTGCTGAATGTGCTCTCATCCGAACGGTTCAATAGCCATGTAAGGTAAACCCCACACCTAGTCATGCTTCTTATGCCAAGGTCATCAATCTATACCCATAATTCCATGCATATCATCTCATGTTTGCTCATGCACTCCAACGGGAAAGTGGTGCTCTAGTAGGCAATGCCAGATGACTTTGGGTTGCAAGAGTAGCCACACCAGCCAGCGTTAAGCAACTAGTAGTGCGGTATGTATTCATCCATATACTCTCCCAAGTGAACCTCTTCGGTAGCCCACTGAATAAGCTCGCCCATTCCCAGGTGATGATAGTCCAGGTAGTGAACATTGATCAGGTGGTTTCGAAGAGCATCTCCGTAGGGGAATCTAAGCTCACATCAAGTACAACCAAACTTCGCGAGCCAAGCCGTGGGAAGATCATGAGCTCCCATGTCGACGGATATATCGATACCAGGGTACAAGGGAACGTATGATGTGCTGGGGCGGAAGATTCCGAAGCGCTCTCTGTGAGGTCCACGGAGCGGGCCAGGCTCAGGCGGCTGTCCGTTCTAGAGATCACCAGCTGATCCGGGTGCTCCTGTCCCTGGGATTGAGGCTGGTTACCGTGCTGCTGAGCCTGAGAGTCGTCGTTGAATGGGTTAAGATGCTGCGGCTGCTGCCCAGCAATGACATAGTCGTGGAGGGCCGCCATATCGCGTTCATGCTCGCAGATATCCTACTCCTGAAGGTTGTTGGGGTGCCAAGGAGCCATGGGGGCCATGGCGACATGCTGCTGGTATTCGAGGCCATTGGGCACGGAAGCTTCTTCGTTCTCAGCGTAGCCATTGAGATCGGGCAGAACTGGATCGTGAGGCATAGGTAGAGAGACGCCGTGAGGATTGATACGATAAAAAGTGCTGACCAACGTTTAATCTGTGGCCAGCCTGTCCGACCCATCCCTCATCCTCCTGCACAAGACCTGGACCCAGCGGCTTGTAGAGATTTATTCTGTCGTATAGCTTGTCGAACCCTCTGTCGACATGGGCGCCAGGGTTCTTCTTGAGGGTGATGGGCACCCTAATACGAGGTCTCAAGTTGGCCAAGACTGCTCGGCCTTCCGACTGAGGCTTTGGGTCACCAGCTGCGGGTTTGACGACCGTATCGCCAAAGTTGGTCAGGTGGAGGTCCTTCGAGACATAATATCTTCCATTGATGACGATATAGTGCCTGGGTCTTTCCGACTGTTAGATCTTGGAAATTAGTCGAAGCCATTGGATATGACACATACACACCAGGCTTTAGATACTTTTCCATCCTTCTCCGATGAAGTCCTTTGCTAGGCAGTTCGAAGCTTTGCTAAATTGGCGACTGCCTTTGAAGTGCTTTGAACAAGAGGAAGAAAGCCTTGATAGTTTGTTTTGATTTTGAAAACAGGCCAGTGACGGCATCATGGAGTATGTGTGTGAATTCATCAATGCGGGGCATTTGTCAAAGCCCTTATCTGCCATTCCTATGGTCTACGTGCCTGGGACTGATCCCGTTTGAGGCTGCAGAGTTCTGATACTCCAAGATTGAAAAAGACTTTCTTTCAGGCACCTTTCCTTGAATGATTCTACCTAGTTGGTTCTTGTTAACATGAGATTGGTCGAATACCTTCTAGACAGAAATGAGCTCCAACATCAAACATAACAGGAAGCCAGATATGTTTGCTTGATGTTGACTCTACAAATCAAGACCTTTACTTTTGCTCAGCGGAGATCATGTAGCTCTACGAGACCATTTCTCGTTAAATTTAGATAGAGAGGAAAAACGTGTGAAGTAACTGTTAAGGGTTCCCTATCTCCTTAGGGTCAGGACATGCCATTTTATTCGTTTCGCAAGTTGAAATATTACGCTTCCATGAAACCACTTCAGGCTTCAGAAATCGTGGAACAGTTTATGTCGGATAGAACGGGTTTTAGTTATCACTCTGTATACTTAATCTTTTCATCTATTGCTCTCCGTAACAGGTGAACCGTTCATACTCCCATGCAGTTTCCGCCGCTCGGGGACAGCACTTTGTGTTTTCTCGTATACTTTTCTTACGCCATCATTACTTACTCTAACTCTGGAGCATTGAGGTACTATTCATACGAATCCAAGCTAAAAACTGGTCATGACCGAGATCTTATCATTAGGCAAGTAGCCAGTCCGTGTGCAGACCTGAAAACTCCAAGAGCGGTCGCCATAAAGTTCCTTCAAGTCATTCACCGGCATTACATCATAGAATAACAGAAACAACGGGAATTACTCCAAGCACATCAGCTAGGCAGTGGTACCCGAATCTTGATGATGTGAATATTCTTTCCACCACGTCATAAGCCAGACGGAACCCCATCACAGATTACTACGGTAATGATCTCCTTCTTCTTGATGCCAAGACTCCGACTCCTTAATCTAAATGCACACTCGAATAACTACAGGCTATGTACATCCAGGCCAAGAAAAGAGGCGGGTGACATTTTTCAAGATGAAGTCACAGGCAAGCGAGGTAACGTGACCCAAGCCAAGGAAGGTGATGTAGGCAGGAACGCAGACAGGCAGGCAGGTAGGTACTTCATCCAAAGTGGTCTTGCCGCTTGGGGAAGTTTTATTTTATGCGCAAATCCAGTAGTGTGCACAAAGCGGAACATCTTTTGTACAACGCGTCATCGTTTTGATGCAATAATCGTCTACACAGCACTTGTTGACTCGTCTTCTGCATCTTCCACTTGTCTTGTCTTCTTCACCCCCTTCAGAATTGTTGCAGAACCAGCCAAGCTTTACCACTCTTGCCTGGTGCCGTCCAACATGCCAAAAGACCAGCCCAGGTCGCCAATGATACGCAGTGGCCTCCAATCATTTACCGCCTACAGGGGTCGGAGCTTGGGGTAAAGGGGGCCTGGGCAGCGCCGATTACAGCGGTACCCCGCAGCATCGACAGCTCGCCGCGCTCGGTTGAGCTCCTCCTCCTCACCTCACCTCACATCATTGATAGCTCCATGTTCTCAGGTCCTTGACCCATGGGATGCGGAGATGCGTCGGCATTCACTCGGAGGCAGGCTCTCTATGGTCGACTACACTACCGAACCTCAGTATGGCCTCCGATAGCAGTGTAACTGGTCGAGACAGCTTACCAGGGGTTCGAAACCGTATGGCCATTGGTCAATCAGGAACTTCTCCGAGCCTCGAGCTCCGAAATCTTCCCAGCTCAGGACCGAGGATCTTCGCGTCTTGGCTCCAAAGTATGGGATATAAAAGCCAGCGCGACCAATTTACCTTTCTCGTTACGAAATACAGATCACCTGCAGCTCCTTCTTCCTGACATCCTCTTCTTATACGCTTCTCACCACCATCATGCATCTCCCGTTGCTCCTCTCGGGAGCTGTCTTGAGCTTCATCGCTCCGACCCTCGCCATCCCCGTCCAGGACAGTCCTCGCCAGCGCCTCCTCGACGGCAAAGGTCTTCCTACAAAGTACCGCAGTGGCTCGCCGCCCTACACCCCCGGCCACAAGGACAAGTACGATGGTCCCATCGATTCCATTGGTGACGAGCTCGATCCCTTGCCATACCGCAATGGTCTCGGTGCTTCTGTTCTCGGGCCTTGGAACGAAGCTCGATCCAGACAGAACCCGGATCTCGTTCGACCTCCGGGCACTGATCACGGCAATCTAGCCAACATGCGTTGGAGTTTTGCTGACTCCCATATCCGCATTGAGGTTTGTTTGTCCGCGTAGCATTCGTTGGAGCTTAATGGTTGCTGATCCGTTGTTTGTAGGAGGGTGGCTGGACTAGACAAACCACCATTCGCGAGCTTCCTACCAGCATCGAGCTGGCCGGTGTCAACATGCGCCTAGACGAGGGAGTCGTCCGCGAACTCCACTGGCACAAGGAAGCTGAATGGGCCTACGTCCTCGACGGAAGCTGCCGTATCACTGCCATTGACTACGAGGGAGGAAACTTCATTGACGATGTCCAAAAGGGTGACCTCTGGTCTGTTATCACTCGCTTTCTGCTTATACTACTCATGCTAAATAATTCTACACAGGTACTTCCCCTCTGGTGTGCCTCACTCCCTCCAAGGCCTCGGCGAGAACGGAACCGAGTTCCTCTTAATTTTCGACGCCGGACACTTTTCTGAGGAGTCTACCTTTATCCTTACTGACTGGCTTGGTATGGTGCCACCTACGAGAGACAGAAGGCAATCCCATTGACTGACAATACAACAGCCCACACCCCCAAGTCTGTCATCTCAAAGAACTTCAAGCTGGCCCCCGAGGTCTTCGCCAACATCCCCGAGGGGGAGAAGTATATCTTCCAAGGAACCACGCCCGGCTCCATCAGCCACGAAGCCCCCGACGGAAAGGGAGTCAAGAAGTCAAAGCACCAATTCACGCACAAGATGCTCGCACAGGAACCCAAGAAGACCTCTGGCGGCGAAGTCAGAGTAACCGACTCCAAAAACTTCCCCATCTCAAAGACTATCGCTGCTGCCCACGCCATCATCGAGCCCGGCGCCATCCGCGAGATGCACTGGCATCCTAATGCCGATGAGTGGTCCTTCTTCATCAAGGGCCGCGCCAGAGTCACGATCTTCGCCTCGGAAGGAAATGCCAGGACATTCGACTACGTACCTGGCGACGTCGGCATTGTCCCGAAGAACATGGGTCACTTTGTAGAGAACATTGGCGACGAACCCCTCGAGATGCTCGAAATCTTCCGCGCCGACGAGTTTAGAGACTTTTCTCTGTTCCAGTGGATGGGCGAGACGCCCAAAAAGCTGGTTGTCGATCACCTCTTCGCCAACGACCCCGACGCTGGAGAGAAGTTCTGGGACAAGGTCAAGAGCGCCGAGAAGGACGAGATCACCAAGGATACTACCGTCGATGCCGAGGCTGTTCAGACCGAAACGGAGGAACTCTGATGGGCAAACACTACACGGAAACATCATGCATGGAAACATTGGAAACGGGAACGAGGTGGCTGAGTCTTTTGCCCTCGGTCCATCGTCTGTGCTCTGGCGGCGTTTTGTTTCGTTGGGCGATGAAACGTCTACAAGGCAGGGGACAAAAACATCATCTCATTTGTCGACAGAAATTGTTGATCAGTCAATAATACCATTTCATTATTCTTGGCAACAAAGTCTATGATGTCTAGAATCAAAGCACATTCTCGCGCCTTCGCTCTTTCTCTCTTTGATACTGTGTTCTCCCACTGCCATCAGACAAAGATCTTTTGGCTCAGAGTCTATGAAGTCAAGGTAACCTACTCAAAGTTTACTGACAGAACTGGGCTTGGGAAGGGTATCCATGCCGGCCACTCTGGAAAGCTTTCGTCCAAACACGATCGGATTACTCAGTTCTCGCTACCAAGTCCAGCCCCATGTATCACCATCAAGTCAGCCGCGCATACCGGTAGATCGCCTCCTTCGCTTCTCAAACTAGAACTAGAGCCAGCGAAGATGCCCACGTATACCTACTATTGCTCTCGTCCCATCACGGACAGATCATTATACAACTACCTCTTTCTCTTACCGACAGGTCTCCGAACGACGTCCGTTGCTAGGAACCTGGTCTAACCAGATACCGCTGCCTCAAATAGATCTAATGGAACGAGGGGTGGGCGCCATATTATTGATTGCAGCTTTTCTCCCTCGGTGTGGGAGGAACATGACTGCAATAGGCTGTAGCAATCAGGTTCGCAACGCCCATCCGTGACCCGCGGCCAGGCTCTCGTAGTCTCGTTGCATGCGAGAGGGAGAAAGAACCCCTCTGGACACGCCCCCCTCGTGCCCAATTCAGGCTTATCGCAGGGTGGGAGCCGGCGGTAAGAAACGCAGAAGACAAAAAAGAATGACGGGAAAGGAGATCCCAGGGGGCGAAGGGGGGGGGCGCCTTGAGGCTAGGGGTGCGTAGAGCCGTAAGATGGATCAAGAAGGTGGTGACCGGTGACCGAAGCGTCGAGAGCGACGAGCAGAAAGAATCGCAATCCTCATGGAACGAACCCCGCACGGCGACGACACCATCAATCCGGGCCAATAGTTCCGTTTCAGCAGAGTAGAAAGGCAGGCATTCGATGTGTGTGGTGGTGGTGGTGGTGACTGGGTGGTGGTTATGGTGCGGTGGGAAAGCTGACAAGGCCGTTTCCGCTGTCTGCATCGTCCAATGTTTTGTGCCTTCTCTCTTTTCGGTCCATTTCCCGGTGCGGGCAGCAGACCTCTAAGCCTGTAGGGTTAGGAACTTCTGTATGGGTGTGAACGTTGCGGTTGACGACACCCATTCCTATTCTTGGAAAGTTGGAGACTGAGAGAAAGAGAGAGGGCAAAGAGGGGTAAATGCGAGCACCAAGGGGCAATGAGGATGAGGGATGAGGGGGCATTGGAACTGGGCACATCACCGACTGACTGACTGACTGAATGACTGACTGACTAGGTAAACTTGGAGGCAGGGCGCGAAAGCGACAATCCCCCTGGTGTTGTCGATGGAAAGCTATTCCCATCCCAACGGCAACGTGAGCTGATTCGCCGGGGTTGCAGGAAAAGGACACTGGCACATACTGGGCAAACATGCCGTGGTAGACATCACCCGGGTTTCGACCAGTGAGCATGGATCTAATACAACCCTCGTCAGTGTGACTGCAGCATCTTAATCGAAGAAACATGTACGTCCAGCTAGGGATGCTACATATAGCAATTAGCAAGGTCTCAAACCCCCGTTCACCCTCGGCTCTTGTCGCCCTTGTCAAGTCGTTCTGTGGCCCACAATCCATTTGCCGCTCGCCGCCCGCCGAACTGCCTTCACATCTCCATGGATTCTCGCAGCAAGCTGCCTGTTGATGGTCTCCTCTTTCCTAGGCTCCTTGGCTCCGTGGCTCCTCCTCCCTCTCTGCTTGCGAGTCACTCCAGTTAGGCTAGCACCGAGTCGCAGAGGCCGAACCCCCGGTCAAACCCGGACTTCACCCCGGTCTGCATGGCCGGAATACGGCACCTGATTCGCGGGCTTGGCATACCACCTCAACCGGGGAAATCAAAAGCTTGTCCCGTCGTATCGAACGCTACTTGCAGGGGTCACTTGGGGGGAGCACAGAGAGCGGAGACTGGTGGAGTCCTGGGAGCACGCCCACCACCCGGCACACGACATCTCGCCTCGTCATTGCGTTCGTCTATCCAAGATGGCCCTGCTAGAGCCGATGGGCGCGACGGGAGCGCTATTGGACGGGTATGTACCCCGCGTCTTGGTCTTTAGTTGACGGGAAGGGAAGTGGACAACGGAAGGGGGAGGGGGCAACTGGGGGGGGCTCTCACGCGGGAATTCCGGTCTTGCGTCAAAACTAACGTACCTCTGATACTTACAGGCAGGTCGAGACAGTGAGAGAGGCGAAGAAAGATAGAGACCTGACGGAACGATAGGGCCGCGAGAGAGAGAATCAAACACACTTCCCGCTTTCGGGTTGCACGACTAAGTCCGCGGTATCTTGCATACCAAAGAAATGGGGCTCTGTATTGCGTCGTCGTCACCTTCGATATGGAATATGGATACCACATACATCATTACAGCCCTTCAAGTTTCGGTCAACTTCAGTCCTGCAGAAGAAACCTGAGACGAAAAGGTCCCACGCATGCGCTGCGTGCGCCAGAGAGAGGACCAGAGGAAGCCAAGTGTTCTGTGTCTTGGATGGGAGAGCCTGTTATCTCTAGTCACCAATCCGGATGAGGAAATTCGATATGTCTTGCCGCCAAGCTTCCCGTGTAGACTGCCAATGCATGCAACCCCAAGAACGTGCTTTAGGGACAAAGTGTCGGTGTTCGCTAAGAGCGACTGGGACTTACCTATTTCTGGGCTTGACGCTTTTTTGACTACCGCAGTGCTAGCCGTGGCATCACCCAGTCATCATACATACACACACTGTCACTCATCCTCTCACTCACTCACTCGCTCACTAATCACTCATACACATACAGTACGCACGTACACACCCTGAAATTCTGCTCTGACTGCCCATGAGGTCGGCCCGTTTTGTCTGCCGGTGGCGATCGTCCGTCCTTTTCCAATGCTCTCGCTGTCTCACAAGATTCGATGTGCAACCGCCAAGACTGGATCGTGCTTTGGTAACTCGTCGGTAGCCACGAGGAGGCCAAGAAGCACCGGCACTTGGCAGTCGACTTAGCATTGCGGCTCTCGGGTGCCAAGTGATGAGATATCAAGTCCAAGACAAAGTCTAACAGGGCGTAAACTCAGAATCATTTGAATCAAGTGAATGAGAGCGTAAACTAAAAGATGCGATGCTCATGGTTTCCTGGTCTTGTGAAATGACGAATGAGAGGGCGCGGACCTCCATCTCAGCTGACATGGCTCCAATTCTAGCCTCCGTGCCCAGCTGCGTTCGTACTTTACTTAGTAACTTCACACATACCGGTACTGCAGTGATACTGTGTGCTTTGTGGTTGTCTCTTACTCCAATGTTCAACTGATCCTATTCTCGTCCCGTCCAGTAGCCATTGACTTTGGTCCTCCAACCCTGGTGCACATGTGATCAACGTACCGCTTTATTGCCACGCTACGCTAAGGTACTGTTCACAAGTCCTTTTCCTCTCATCCCGCGTGGGATGGGTACTAGACAGTTTCACTTTGAGTTGGATGGACATCTGCGCCAGACCAGTATTCAGGGACCAGACCTGAAAGTCTGCTCGTACATGTAGCTATTCATGTTCCTTTAATTGGGGAAAAGTTGGAGTTCACCTCATAGAACTGCTCGTTGTTCTTCCTTGTCCCAAGCTATTTGGCGTTCATCGCGGTGCGACTCCGCGTGAGGGGGCTGGCTGGCCTCGCTCGACGTAACGCAGGCCTACCCAAACTCCCACCAATCTGAGGCTCTCGACACCTTCTATGGCTGAACAGTGATCAAACTGCATTAGATCCGGTGTCATCGGCATGTGAGGGGATACCGAATGTCGTCCGAAGGAGGGTACGGCAGTTCCATGCCCAGATTGGGCCAAGTGGTGTATACGCGCAGCAGACCATGATGTTGCTGCGGTGGTGTTTTCTTGGCTCACGCCTCCCCCTCTTTCTCCTCTTGCCCTTTCTGCCTTTTCTCTACACGTATTGGATGGTATAGTTATCCGCCTACAAGGTTCGGGTCGCTATCCCATGTGGCTGCTGTGTTGTACTGGGGGACGGGCGACTTGCGCAAGCGGGCAAGCTGCAATGCGCGGATCAGATGCGATGCAGCAAGCATAAAGAACGCCTCCATCAGCGCCGCGGGAGGAGTTCTGACTGAATTAGGTTGTTATCTCTGGGAATAAGTCAAATATCGACATATTTGAGACCGGATGAAGTGATGACTGGAGTCTCTCTTGAACAGATATAATCATCCCAACTGCTCTGAAACCATTTTGTCTGTTCCCTTCTCATCAGCCACCGAAGGACCCGGACACTCATCTTCCTACCTTTCCCTTTTTTATCTTTCCTAAACAACGGCACTTTGGTCCCTTCTGCTGTCAATATGGAGAAGATCACCAGAAAGGTCGAAAAGGTGAAAGACGAGTTCGCTACAGATGCCAGCATCGCACGAGCTCGTGACTTCGTCGTTCAGGGGGCACCAAAGCTTCCATCAGCCGCGGGAGTCTACCTCCTCGAAAAGGTCCCCATCGTCCAGTGGCTACCGAAATACAACCCGAAATGGCTCATCACCGACTTCATTGCCGGTCTGACCGTGGGCGTTATGCTCATCCCGCAATCCCTGGCTTACGCAAAGATTGCAACTATTCCCATTGCTAACGGCCTATACTCAAGTTGGCTGCCAGCTGCGTTTGCAGTCTTCATGGGAACCTCAAAAGGTAAGATATTTCATAGAATTGCTTTAGTAATCTGTTCTTTGATGTCTCTAATCTGTTCGTGTGGTGTGTAGATCTTTCAACCGGACCGACTTCCATCTTGGGCCTCCTGACAGCCGAAATTGTTCGTGACCTCAGCGAAGAAGGATTCGATATCTCAGCCATTGCCTCGTCCGTGGCCCTCATGGTCGGAGTCTACTCACTCGTCATTGGTCTCTTCGGCCTCGGCTTCCTTCTGGATTACGTCTCCTTCCCAGTTCTCACGGGATTTATCTCAGCCGCAGCCCTCGTCATCGCCTTTGGCCAAGTCGGATCCCTCGTCGGTTTGACAAACGTGCCATCTGGTGTCTTCAACGTCATCGGTGATGTCCTTCGTCGTCTGCCAAAGTGGGACGGGGCGACCTGCGGAATCGGATTCGGAACGCTGCTCATCCTCATCATCCTCGAGAAGGTGGGCAAGAAGTACGGCAAGAGACACTTCGCCATCAAGCTCCTCGCCAACTCCAGAGCTGTCATCGTTTTGGTCGTCTTCACTCTCATCAGTTACCTCGTCAACCGCAACCGCGAAAAGTCAGACTACGCTTGGAAAGTCAGCCAAGTCAGCACCCATGGCATTACTCACCCCATTGTACCCGCCTCGAACTTGGTCCAGAAGGTCGCTACCAGAGCCGTTGCCCCCCTTGTTGCTAGTACCCTCGAGCACTTGGCTGTCGGTAAGGCCTTTGGCAGAAAGAACAACTACCAGATCGATCAGAGTCAGGAGTTCAACTACTTGGGTGTCGTCAATATCGTCAACTCTTTCTTCAGCACGATGCCCGTCGGTGGTGCCATGTCTCGAACTGCTGTTGCCTCCGAGTGTGGTGTCAAGAGTCCTCTGACTGGTGCAGTCACTGCTGCCTTCATCCTTCTGACGCTTTACGTCCTGTCTCCAGCTCTCTACTGGCTTCCCTCTGCAACTTTGTCTGCGATCATCGTAAGTTGCCCTTGCGGCTTTCAGGCAAACATAATGCTAATAAAAGGAACAGATCATGGCGGTTGTCCATCTCTTCGGTCCTTTGTCCCTGTTCTACAAGTTCTGGCGCATCTCCTTTCCCGACTTTGTTGCCTCAATGGTCTCTTTTTGGGTCACCATCTTTGTCTCAGCCGAAATCGGCATTGGTGTTGCTGTGAGTTCCCTCGTCTCAGATCAACCCCGTCCTTGGCCGTAACTGACTTCGAGATCAAGGTCGCATGGAGTATCGTCTGGACTCTCCTCCGTTCCACCTTCGTCAAACCCGAAATCCACTCCAGCAGCGCAGAAACAGCTACCTCTATCCCGCAACCCATCACCCGCATCACCAGCGGCGGTGGTCGCCAAGTTACAGACGAACGCATGGAGAACGCACGCATTTCAATCCCAGGCGATGCCATCGTAGTAGACTTCAACGACGCCATATTCTTCCCCAACGCCGAGCGCGCAAAGACATCGACGCTCACGGCGATTAAGCTGGTGTACCCACGCGTCGAGAGCAGTCTGAGCCAAGACGACAGAGAACGACACTGGAGTGTAGCAGCAGAGAAGCGCTTGGAAAGATTAAGAGCGCAGAGGCAGATCCGTCTCAAGGAGACGCCGCTTGCTGTTGTTGTATGGGACTTCACCATGGTGCCTTTTATCGATACATCCGGCATCATGACGTTGAAGGAGCTCAAGGATGAGATCAAGCTACACTCTGGCAAGGGCGTGCAGATTCGAATGGTTGGCATGTCAGACAAGGTTCGAAGCCGGTTCGTGAGGGCCAACTGGCATTTGGTTGATCTGGAGGAGTGGCGAGAAGAGGATGCGGACCTGGTGTACCCGACCATGGAGACTGCAATCTGGGATCGTGACGATGGTTCCGGAGCAGATATTTCGAGTGAGAAGAAGGGTTGAGCCTTGGGCGGGTTGTAGCTTCGAAGTACTGGCTCCTTGGAACCAGAGACGGCAAGAGTATGATTGACGAGTGACATAAATATTTCAGCTTACCAGATACCTATTTCTTCAATTTACCTCGGCATTACATCACATAGATCTCGGTCCCATCACGCAATTCTTGATGGTTACTAATACCATGCAGATCTCTGCCAGTACTTGGGAGTGATTGATTCATGGCTCTTGCTGCCTCTTGAGAAGAAACACTTCTCAGTCACAAAACAAAAGGCACGAACATGGAATCATAAAAGCTGCGGGAAGTAGGCAATTCTATTACTGGTTTAATCCGCCAATGCTTTTATTGTTCTTCTCAACAGAGAAAGTGATATGCCACGCCCTCTCCATTCAACCTTGCCCAAATCAGTCTCATAGTTGCTATACAATTCCTCATTTCATTCCAAAGACCGGAAAACAGCGTAGCCCACAACGGCAATGAAAACAATGATGAGAGAAGCATGACTAGCCAGAGTCTGTCCTAGGGCATACATTCTCTGCTGGTGGCGGCTTGTGTCAGAGGCGAGTTGCATGAGTTGCATGAGTTGCATCGTATGCTTGTCGCATCTGTCCTGGAGCTCCTTGAGTCGCTGGTCGCGTTCGTCCTCAGAGGCAATACTTTCGTGCTTCGAGGCGTCGCGGGCGTCCTCTACGGAAATGAGGTGCTGTATGTACTTAGCTTGAGCGGCCTGAGTGGCCATAATCTCCTGCTGAGTGGCCTGGATTTCTTGTCGAGTGGCCTGCATCTGTTCTTCGAATCGTCCAACTTTTATCTCCGTTGCCATGGTGCGTCCTTCAACAACATTCAGTCGGTTCATCGCCATCCGGTGATAGAGTACAGCATCTTTCTTGTGCTGGAATCGGGTGACATGTTTCTTAAGCTGATTATAGGTTTCTTCTAGCTGCGTGATGCGCAGCTCTGGCCTCCGCAGCACCTCAACGTCATCGATCCGTATACCAGACTCGCCCTCGTAGCTGATATCATTGACTGCGAAGCTCTTGAACTAAAACTTCAGAAGCCTGGAATGTAAACGTTTTCCAGCAAGCGCAAACTATACCTGAGCAGTCCCAGCTTCACTCTTCCATCATGCTGACTCTGGGAAACAGGGTCTTCGACCTTGACCCGGAAAGCATTGTCCTACATCTTCGCCCAGTTAGCTGGAAAATAGAAATTATGCTAGTACGCCACACTCGAAGTTCTCAATGCTACGTCTTTCTGCCTTCCTGAACCCTGATCATGGACGCCATATCAGGCAGGACCCCGTTAAGCGCACGAAGCTCCTGACCTTCCTGAGGGTTCGGCACTAACCATCTGAGTGGTTCCCCCGTTCCCTATCGGGTACACGGCACAGGCGCGGCCAGGTATGGTTCCGAGGCTTCTTCCAAGCTATCCCCAGGGACACCCGAAGGTGTCATCAGGGCCGTCCCACAAGACTCACCCCCAAAACGGGAGAGTAGGGAATGATCTCGAGCTGCTGTAATAGGGTATGACGACGACGAGACCGAACCCTCACGAGTTATCCCGAGTCCCACGGACCGAGGTAGACGCCACGTCCCGCACTCGATATCCGTCACTCGAAGGGCGATGCCCCGGCTCAAAGTAGAGTCGGTGACCGGTCCAAATGGTCCTGGCATACACACATGCCTCGAGCTTTAGATATTGTGCCGGACTCCCGATACGTCTTTGGCTTAGAACTCGGAAGGCAGGGCGACCACGGGAAGCGCAAGACGCAAAGAAAAACGAGGCTGGGACACAATGTGAACTGTGGACGTACCTGATTGTCATTGACAGAGTCAACCTGTTGAATAACTGTTATTAGTACAAGAGGTGAAATGAACTGGCAATCGTTTCGAGGTTCAACCTACCGAATTGTTCGCAATAGCGTCCTGATGCTCCATGTCGGATTTATAGAATGAGTTTCCCTATGTCTTCACCCAGTCAGCAAGGAAAACCTTACTGGTAAGCCCGACTCGTCATTCTCTGTTGTGCCCTCGCCATTAAGATCCTGCATCTTTGTGGCTGCCACCAAGACACCTCGCCAAGATTGGTACTTCTTAACATCCATGGAGAAACACTTTTGGCTTGCGACACCTAGCTACCACGCGGTCCAACTTTTGACGGAAGGGCGTTGCGGTTAGCTCAGGAACACGACTGTGAGGAAGTGTTCCCGAGAACCCAGACATCGATGGGGACCCAGAATGTCACCTGGAAAAAGATCCAGATGTCGCGAGACTAGTCCTGAAAGATGGCTGGGACTGGCTCCATGAACCCGCCACGAGGGCAGTAGTTGAAAGGCGGCACCGCTCACAGCCACACCCGGAAACGAGAGAGTAGGGTGTGTCTCCAAGGCTCGCTACCCTGCTTGCCCAGCTAGGACGAATCGAAGGCAACCAGTAACCGATTGGACCATCCCAGGCTTTCCACGAAGGAAATCCGAGGTGGTTGAAACCATACCGCCCGAAGGCAGAACCGGTCTGAAGAGGTAATTTGCCCCGACTGCCCACAGAAGGGTGACTGGCCTGTCCAAATGGCTCTGCCACCCTGGCATTCCACCTCCTCAGTTCCGGGCTCCCGACGTCTCACCGAGAAAGAATTCTCGGCCCGCTTAGGGTCCAATCGGCAAGATGGGCAGGTGGGAGAGAACACGAGAGAACGAGTCCGGGACATAAATGAAAAGATTGTGGGCTTACCTTGGTGTTGCTGCTGTACCAGCGCTTCATGCCGGGCACGTCAATTTCGGACGAGGAGAGGAGTCCATGGCGAGAAAGATCTGGTGAAAATATTTGTCAGTGATGAAGAAAATAAACCGCGGCAGAAATGAGAATTTGCAGTTGGATCGCAAACAATCCGCGCGACGGAGGCGAGAATGAAACAATGATGAGGAAGTTGAGATGAGCTGAGCTGGAGAGAAAGAGGGAGTGTGAGGAAGAGTGAGCGAAGAAGAAAAGGAAGAAGGGAAGAGAAGCAAGACCTAAGAGGATAGACCTCGCAAACTTAGCGGCAAGAAAGGCCGCGGTGTTGAAGATGAGAAGAAAAGGCAAGGGAAAAGCAGGAGGAAGAAATTGAGGAGGAAGAAGTGAGGTGGGCTTTGCTAGACCGGAAAACCCTCCCAAGTGCGTCTGCCCGGTCATCGACCCTTACGTGAGGGCGGCCTGAATATCCTGATTTTAGCGATCAGGGGAAAAAAAGCAGACGCGTAGGCAATGAAAATTGGGAAGGAGGGATGAGACGCGTGAGCTGAGGAGGAAGGCCGCGTAGAATCGGTTTCAAGTGCTCATATTGATGAGATCCTGAGAAAGGGGAGGAAGGGGTGATATTTGCGACGAGGACGACGAAAATAAGGAGATGGATATCTTACCTTTCGATCAAAACTTTGGGCAGATCGTATCGCGGGATGGAGCCGCTGCCTCTCGCTGAGCGAAACTGTTGTCGATGAGAAATTGTGGTGGTGATAGAGAAAACGAAAAAGTAAAGAGACCCTCAGGGAGGGGAGAAAGAAAAGTTGGGGGGCAGAGGATGTGGGTGGAAAAAAGATAGTCTAGGGTAGACCAAGGCGAGAGGGTGAAGAATGGGTGAAGGGCTGAGACTTGCTGCCTCACGGATGAGAATGAGGCATCTTGTGCTCCGAGATTTGGCATGCTCGACGCGTAGGAGAAGGTGAAATAAACAAACGAGGCTTTTGACTTCAGCCGAGGAAGGAGCAGGCCCAGGGGAAGGTGAACGGGACAGTATATGAACAACGGCTTGTATGCCTATAAAGAACACTGGACGATGGAGAAAAGCGCGACTGGGGATACGACAAGAGTCATGAGATACCTTGAAAACAATGTAATTACTGACCTCGTGAGTAGGGATTGCGCTCGTAGTCAAGACGTTTGAAGTAGAGATTCGTCGTTGCTCCGTGGCAACAGGTCGAGGTACAATATTGAGGCGTGATACAGTTGTCGAAGACGGAACCCCCCAGACCGGAAGCGATGGCCAGCCCTAACAATTGTATTCTGTTCGTATTCATCGTTCGTCCAGCACACTTCAAGAATAGGTGGGGTGGCGAACGCCAGAGACCGCGAGGCATAAGAAGCAGATATTGAACCTGCGTATGCTGTGCCATGGAGCAACAGATATCCCCCAAGATGAACTTTCTCTTTCGTCCATATGTCTGCTCCAAAATGATAACTTGGCTAGGACTCTATTGATTCAGCCCAGTCTCTCTGTTTTCCGGGCGAACAACAATAGGTATCTTCCCAAGGTTGGATGCTCGCAGTTCTGGCGGCGGTAGAAACTCCCATGAATCAAAGCGGCCATCATCTTCTCTGTAGTTATTTTGTTCCTCGTGTTTACTATCTTCTGATTTTGTTAAACTGCGTAGACGGGAGACATACATGTTAGCTTTCGACCACGCGAACCTCTTAAAGGGATGCCCAACATTGCTTTCGAGAAGTCGTGTCAGGGCGGGTCACTGGTTTTTGATTCAGCCAGCAGAAGCTTCAACCACCCAGCAATCCACATAGACTCATCCAAAGAGAACTTCGGGCGTACTTGGGCTCGAGGGGAGCCAGGTCGAGCCAACTTGTTTCTCGTGCCGGGTGCGGCCCATGAGCACGCGGCGCCCCGGCGAATGAACCCGACGGATAATGGCTGTTAATTAGGAGTTTAATTCAGCTTTATTATCATTCTAATTTCTCAGTACATCATGCAGCCTCGCAGCAAAACGCGTTGCTGTGATAAGGTAAACCGAGGGAATTCGAGTCGCGTTAGATTTGATTACCTACTCAGAAAGAAGGGGCCATTGTGTTGGATCGTCGCCCCTTCCTTGTACGTCAATTACAATTCCGATACTAAATGCTCAAATAGGGGTCCTCACCTCATATCTTTGCCTGACTTTAAGTGTTATCTGCTTCATGGCCGCATTGCAAGCCTAGCTGTAAAACGAATAATTTGATTTGAGCAAAAGTTTGCGCAAGCTTACAAGAAAGCACAAAGGCCTTTGTTGGCCTCGAATAGAACTCTCTCTAACGCTCGCACCAACATCGACCAATTCTAATTAGGCTCAGAAATACCAAGTAATTACTTCATGCGCAATCAAACACTGATTTCTACCACACGCAATAGAGCATACCGCAAAGCAGCCTTGGTGACAGTCATGTTGATCTTCCCTCTCGATGGATACTGATTGCGTAGGGCTTGTTTGGTCATTGTCCCAAGCCTGGCCATGGCATCGAGTCGGATGCTCCGTAGAGTAGGCAGGCCAATCGACAAGATTAGCTAGCACTCATGTCTACATAACATGATCACTCCCAGAGGCTCTTGCCTATCGGCTTTACTTGTGCATACTAACAATAATATTGGATAGCTCTACTAATGTTTCAATTACCATGATCATACCTCTTAAAGGATTCTTTGAACCTAGATCGAGCCGACGTTGTGTTGGTTATTCAGCAAGTCTCCCACAACAAGGGCATTCGGTCACTCAAAGAACATATACATACCCCTGAACAATCCCCGGGAAACGTGATTCACGTTCGTTCCTGCCTGGAAGACGTGATATTTTTTTTCACTGCTAACTCCTAATTGCGAGACTGAATGCTCTTTCCCTTTCACTGTTGTGTCCTATCTGGGACGGCGTTGGAGGTGGGTCCTTATTTTGGAGTGTCCCCATCACCAACTTCACCTTTCAACCGGTATAAAGTATCCTTCCGCCGGACTCTTTTCTTCCAACTTACTCTCTCTTTACCACCCTCAGACTTTCGCGACTTTCCATATACGCCTCTTAACTTTACATCCTCGCTTTTGCAACATCATTCCGCACTCCTACTGTCGCCTCCGGTCCTCCGCTGTCCCAATAATATTCCTTTTACAGGTATGTTCAAGTGTGACTTGATCCCACTTTATTTAACGTAGGCAGTCTGACAATCACTAGAGCGCGAGGCATTTGTGAGAAGCCTAATCAACAATCTACATCAAGTCTCAATGTCTCAGAACAGCAACATGGCTGTGGTAAGGCCGACTCCCATTGACACCGATCTTTGCAGTTCAGTGCTAACATAGCCCGCAGAAGTCTGATTCCGAAGACGACTTCCTTGTCATCGAAGACACCCATAGCCTTACCCTGAACAAGCTCAAGAAGGAGCATCAGCAAGTCATTAGGGACTTGAATGACAAGCACATTGGCGAGCTAGCTATGCTTAGAGATAGCTGCTACAAGCGCTCGCAGAATGCCATCTCGACAGCCAGTGCCTCTATTGACCGCCGCAAGGCTTCGTTCGAACGCCGCAAGGAGGAATATGAGATGGAGATCGATGATCTCAAGGATGAGCTCGCTGCTGAGAAAGCCAAGGTGGCGCAACTTCTGCTTTTGGTCCCTCCTCACCTTCGGGGCAGAGCCCCTGGCCAATCCAGATGGACGGAGCAATAGATATTCACAAAATACCAACATGATCTGGACTTTCGGCGTATTCGGTAGTGGGATCTTATGGTTTAAGGTAGAGGAGTATCAACAAACAAGTAATCCATCAACATGGTCAGAAAGCCAAGTGAACACAGGTAATGAATGTGCATAGATCCGTTACCTTTTGATTGTGATGCGTCCATCCATTAAATCGTCCTCCCTTGCTTTAATTTTGGACTGGCCCCAAGATATCAGTTATTGTGTTAATGTCTGTCCCTTCCAATCTTCTGTAGTGCCAAATCACATCCAGACTTGGCTGGAATCCCTGAAGCTTTCCGTCCGCTCATCATTCGATTGCCTCTTGTGTAGCAGCCAGCAGATCATCTTTCCTGGATGATGAGACCTAGGTACTGGGCATATTCCGGATGTGAATACGGTCCAGATCCAGGGCATCTCACCTTTTTGCACTGATTTCCCTTCTTGATTCCAGGGCCGCACTTTCCTTCATACACACCACCAAATTTGCCAAACATCAACAGCCTCACTTCACCACTACTCACCCTAGCCCTCCATCTTTAGCACTGCTCTTTTTGTACGACCAGCAACAAGAACGTTCGCAAGACTCTGGATTCATAGCTCTTTCTGGTGAGAACAATCACATCAAGGCCAAGTGCGTCTGTGATCCTTTGTCGGCGAGATGAATGCTAATATTAGACCTTGTTCAGACCGGTCTGCACCGGGACCCGCTCTTATGGATTCTTCCAACACCACAATGGTCAATAACAATAATCTGACCTACCAAGGTCTCAAGGTCAGTGTTGCTCTCTCTTCTCCCAGGATTCCTTGCCGAAATTTGCCCATCGAGACAATCGCCTTACTCATCAAAGCCCTCCATCAATCCAACGTAAGTACTGACAACGCGCAAACACAAAGTTCGTCCAATACTCCGAGGAAGAGCACGAAAAACTCTTCAATCAACTCAAAGCCGATGACAAAAAGAAGGCCAAGGAGCGCAGACTCGAAGGAAAAGACTTCATCGACATCTTCACCACCTCCCGCGAGGAAGCCCTTTCCGAGCTCGCCCACTACCAGATCCGCGCCAACAAAATCGCCTTCGCCGGCAAGTACGAGGCCGCCGAGTTCCGCACCAAGGTCTCCGAGGCCTACGACGAGGCGCACAAAAGTTACGTCCAGGCGCAGGAGTACTACAAACACATTGACTACTTCCGAAAGGAGAGCGAGCACAAGGACGGCGTCATTCAGCAGTTGCAGTATGAGGTGGTCGGTCTGCAGGCGCAGCTCCACCAGAAGACGCAGGAGGCGGCGGATCAGCATGGTCAGTTGGATGTCCTGCAGGCGCAGCTTCATCAGAAGACGCAGCAGGTGGAGGATCAGCAAGGTCAGTTAAATGATGCTGTGGCCAAGAATAAGGAGCTTCTTGCTCAGCTTGACGATGTTCGCAAGAAGGTCAACAGAATTATGAGCACCACCGGCGTTCTCTCTCCTGCTGCTTCTACCGAGTACGATCGAGAGGGTACCATGGACTAATAGACCCCCTGTCATTGTCATACGAGAAGGACGGCTTTCTGTAGAAGGGTAAGAAACATGTTTTGGCTTGGAGGACCTGGCTTGGAGGACCTGGCTTGGACTGATGTTTCTGGGATGAGGGCTGCCCCCTTTGGCAAGGAACTACGATACCGGCTGGCTATGAAATGACTAAAGGGCTTCCAAAGAAGAAGCTCTGATTTCCCGTGATACCTAATCTAGTGACCTTTTGAATTTCTAGATGTTCCCTGGTGTTAACAGGCATTACGTTCTCTGCGGCCAGCGCCTCCAACGTAGTCAAAAACACAGCCACACCGAACAATCCAGACCTGCAACGCCACACGCCACAACCTTCCCCTGCATACCACTGGCCCCACCTCCTTAAAGGCGGTCACCCGATCGAGTTACCCCGGGACCCTTCCCACACCGAGGATCGGCGGGGCAGTTTTCTCGGTGAACAACAATTTTATTCTCTGGGACCATCCCACCCTGCCTTGCAAGTCCCATCGCCGACGGTGCACATCCGTCGCAACTCCCAGAACCCGCGACACCTTCAATTGAGCTTCCTCCAACTGCTCAACCACCACGCAAACTCGTCCAAGATGGCATCTCAAGAACAGAACATGCCGTTCATCAGGAACCTGGCCTCCAGCGGTTCGTCCCCCCCCCATCGCTTCGCGACACTCCTACCCAAGAGCTTCCTTGTCTGCTGTCGCAAACCTTCCCAAACCAAACCTCCAGACCAACTCCAGCTAACTCCTCTTCGTCCCTTCCTCTAGACCGCAAACTCCGAACCCAAGCCCTAACCTCCCTCCAAACCTTCCTCGGCTCCCACCGCGCCCTCTCTCACCTCGAAGCCCTCAAGCTCTGGAAGGGCCTCTTCTACGCAATGTGGATGTGCGACCGCCCCATCCCGCAACAAAACCTCGCCTCCGAGCTCGCAGGGCTAACAGCCTGCCTTCGCAACGACGACGTACCCACCTGGCTCGCCGCGTTCTGGGAGATCCTCTCCAAGCAGTGGACCGATATCGACGTCCTCCGCATGGAGAAGTTCCTGCTCCTCGTGAGACGCACGTTTACGTCCGGCTTGCAGTGGGTTAAAGAGGGCGAGTATCAAGAGGAGAGGGTGGAGGCGCTGTTGAAGGTGTACGGGGAGTGGCCTTTCGAGGTGGAGGGCGATTTGAGAAAGGTGCCTATTGGGATTCGGCTCCACGGGCTTGATATCTGGGTTGATGAGCTTGATCGGTTGGAGATTCTCGAGGAGAAGAATGCCAAGGCGGTGGCGTTTGCGAAGAAGGTCAGCCAGCTTGTTGAGCCGTTGAAGAAGTCGCCTGTCAAAACTGTGCGGGCCAAGGCTGCGGTCGTGGTGGAGGACGAGAGGCTGCCGTGGACGGAGAGCAAGGCTGCTGAGGAGGGGGCTGCGAATGGGGATGATGATGATGAATGGGGCGGCATTGACGATCAATAGAGGGGGGCCAAAGTACTCTCTTAGATGTGTGTCTTTGCATGGGATGGTGAACACGGCGTTTGGTGGCTTTTAAAAATGAAGGGTGGCATGTCATTTTTGATTCAAGGACTCTCCATGGGTTTCTACCCCTATGCAAAACGGTATTGGAAACCAAAAAGAAATCAGGTATTATGTGCAACGCTGTACTCTATAGTATACAGAGAGTGATATCCAATGGCTGTCCTTTCGCCAACCCAGCCTGCCCTTCAGCCTGGCCTGACGACGGCTGTGCTCTTCCCGTCTTGGTCTATCTGGGTATCTCGACTTTTGAAGAAAAAAATCACTGCTCCCGCTCCCGCTCCCGCTACCGCTTCTTTCGCTATACAGACATGAGACTGCCAAGGCATATTCTGCCTGTCTGTCTCGGGCCTCACTCCTGGTTGGTGTTGTCCCGATCTAATGACACTCTCACCATACCCCATTTCGATTCTCTCCTCTGTACGCTACTAGAATCTCTTACGGAAGAGACATCTTCTCCCAGCCCAAAGGACCGGGCGCCTCGTACTTGCCGCGCTTCGAAATGACCCTGCCAAGACCGTGGTGGATCTCGGCCTGGAAAGGCTCAAACGGCACCTTTTCACCATCGATGCTGATGTAACCGTCTTTTTGGTTCTTTGGAATGATCCTGTAGGCGGAGATCTTGCGGTACGACACCAACGAGTTGTCAAAAAAGTTTCCATTCTCCACGGACATGAGCATGCTCAGGTTCGCGCCGACGGAGACATCTCCGTCGACACAGACAAGGTCCATGAGACCGTCATTGGCGAGAGCAGCGGCGAAGAAGTTGGCGTCTGGGGCCATGTATGCCATCTGGGGTTGTTAGTACCTATTCTAGATCGCATCATCAAGAGATGGATATTTCCCATGTGATGCAGAGAAAGGTGACATATTATACTTACATTTCCGCAGTAAAAGTTGCCCATCTTGTCATGGGGTATCATCTCCCACCCATTCGGCAGATCGTCGTTGATGGTGCCGAATCTCAAAGGCGGCAGTCCCTCCTGGTCACCGAAAGGGCTCGAGACAGCATCGGCATTCTCCGCTCTCGGAGGCTCGCTGGCACCAGTGTGCGTTACCGACGCGCTCCGCGTATACTCCTTGTAGTGTTTCTTGACGCCCGCCTTGTCCTCGATCTCGACCTTTACAGCCAGGTCGCACGGGTAGCACTTCTTCTCGAATATCCTGACCAGGAAGCCCCAGGTGAAGCGCGCCCCGCCCATCCACCGCAAGTGCTCGGTAGCCAGGTCGCTTTCGGCCACAACCCCAAGAGCCTGGCTCAAGAAACTGAGGGTACGTCGGTCGCCCTGTGTGATGCTGACTAGGTCCATTGGGGTCTCGACCCCCTTGATGATGGCGAGGGCGCAGATCGAGGGTCGATACGAGTCGTAGAGATTGCAGCTCATCGCATTGCCCGAGCCGCAGGGGATATGTGAGACAGCAATTTTGTGTAGTGCTTGCGACGCATCAGGCCGCTGACCTAGGCCATTGAATACCTCGTGGGCCAGACCATCGCCTGAGCACGTGACGATTGTGTCGAATGCGTCCACATCGACTTCCCGCGATATCTCGAGAGCCTGGCCTGAGTAGGTGGTGAGCTCCACGTCCATGGGCATGCGCGCCGCTTTGAACAGAGGCTCGACGTCAACGCGCCACTTCTTTTCCGCGCCTCCCGGGCCGGCGTGCGGGTTAACCAAGACCTTGGCTCTCTTACATAGCTTCGCCAGCCCGTATGCCTTTCTCATGAGGGTGTCGATCCAGGACTTGACATCCGGGCCGTCCGCGTCGTTGACGGTAAAAGTCCATTTCGCGGCCTGTACTCGTTGCTTGCCGGCTTGTTTCGCGTACTCGATCGTCAGGGTCTCTTCCGTCTGTTCGGCCCAGAGGACATTGTATAATGGAACGGTTTGCGTCGCGGGTGCTGCATATCGTGGACTAATGTTAGCAAGCTGGGAATGGGGGAGCAACGTAGGTCAATGACAACGGACCTGATGCGCCAAACCCAGCAAAACCGCAAGTCCGGTTGGCTTTGTTCGCTGTTGGGTCTTTGAAAGGGGGTTAGCTACCCGAGCGCATCGCCACGAGGTAGGTATATTGCAGGTTCCAACACACCATTCAGAAGGAGATTCTCCGAGGTCAGAGTCAGAGTCTTATTGCCGTCGACCTTGATCGTCTCTGGGGGGCCGTTTCTCGAGGCGGGCTTGCCGTAGGATTGGGAGGACTCGGATATGGACTCGGTCCCGTTTAGGGCCGTGTTGTGATCCCCTGCGAGGCTGGCCATCGTGAAATGTGCAAGAGTGGAAGAAGCGACAGACGAGCAGAAGGCGGCGGAACAGGCCGGTCACGTTGGGCGAGAGAGAGAGAGAGTTATAGGCGAGCGAAGGTGGTGAAGATGTAAAAGGAGACCGGTCAGTGCTAGCAGAGGTCGCGACGAGACATTGTAGTCCGTTGTCGACTAGTTGGTTGTTGACGCAACGCCGGTTGGTGTTGATGGGGTGGTCACAAGCTCCCAGGGATGCAGGAGGGAAGAGGAGAGAAGAAGAGAGGAAGTGTTACTGCGCCGTTGCACCAAGCCGTAGGAGGAACTTGGGAAGAAGGGTGTAGGCGCAAGCGGAATAGGAATAGTTGAAGGGAGTTGGGTTAGTAGGAGGCTAAGCGCACGTCCCGAGGCCCGTTGTCGACGAGGGAGTATTGAATTCCAGGAATGGAAAACGAACTTTGGTACGGAGTACGGAGTACTAGTGACTGTACTGTGTATGCGTACTGCGTACTGCGTACTGCGTAGGCCCAAGCAGAGAATCAAATGGATGTAAGGAGAGCAGGGGAGCAACACCAAAGAAAGTTACCAAAGTACAAAACATCCAGGACGACGCTGTTCTTCTTTTGCAGGAAGGTCCGGGGATGGCACGGTCACCCAGCGGCAGCGACAGCACGGATGAATCGGAAATTGAACCTCTGTCACGCTTGATTCGGATAGGGAGATACTTTGACGGGCAATACGTAACAGCGTGGAGATACATGTACACCGTTAATGGGGGAGGGCATTGATAGCAGAGCTGCGATAAGGTAAGCACCCGCAACACCAAGGAACCTGGCACCATAAGAAAGGCACGGATGTGCGCGCTGCAATGGCTGGCCAACTGCTGAGGTAGGTACTGAACGGTGAACCCCTCCCCCCGCCGAAGACCTGAAGGTAATGCGAGGGGCCCGCGGCGCCCGTAGCGGCCGCCTGACCACGGCGGAGGTGCTCTCCCGAACGCACCTCACACTCGTGATGCAACCGAACGGGGAGATGCAACCATTCAAGGAGAGAGAGTCGATGGGAACCGAGATGTTCGGGTTTGAGAGGTTGGCATGTGCCTTTTGTGGTGTAACTCTCTGTAAGGCCAGGCTGGACAGGTGACGAGAGGTGAGGTAGACGTCCCAATCGAAGTAGGTACAGCAGGGCAGGGCCGGACAAATACCTTATCTAGGAGTGGCTTGAGGGGAAATGGACGCC